TCAATTACTTGCTCCGGTTTATACGTGAATTATTGTCTACGATAATAATCTTAACAATACGTTGACCTTACTCGTTTTCTTAACTACTCGTATTATCATTATACCAAAAATGTAATGTAATATCGGCGATGGTTATTATTACATGCTCGAGTGTATCGTGCGTGCGCTGTGCACGGTCTGGGAGATTGATGAGACGACAACTCATCCTACCATTCGTATTTCCTTAGACCGTATAAAAATAATAATAATAATAACAGTACGTACTCGGCGCAATACGTATTACATTTTAACGTATTTGATTTTATTTTCAATTTTCCTTGACGCATATTTTTTTATTTTATTTTTTTTTTTTTTTTTAGCAGGTCAATGCGAATATTAGTCAGTCAACGAATTTCACGCGTCTAACACATTGCATTATATTACATATTATATACCTTTATATATATATTATGAACGTGGAGATTTATTTATTTTTTCTGTCATCGGAACGCTTTCTCCCCGTCATCGTCAATATTGAATTACTACGAATATTTTGACGACTGTCATATCAGCGAGATAATGCGCTCATTTTCGAATGCGGACGAGATGAGTGAAATATAATGTATAATATATGTTTATTGCTCGTACATATATGACGTGTGCGCGTATTGAATATAATGGTGAACGTATATGTGAAATGTTTGCGGTAAAACGCACGGAAAAAAGTTTTTCTTCAATTTCGGTTGAAATTAAAAAGAAAGGTAATTAAAATCGTGTATTTTTGTTCATCAATAACATTATTATCGTTACTGAGCTGTCAGTATTTGTAGTGAAGAAATAGGACGGAATAAACTTTTACAATTTTTACAGCAGACTAGTGTATGTATGTCAATAAAATTATAATGTTGCCTATATGTAGACTCGAGGTAGATAAAAAACAGAAAACGGACATATTATAATAATCGTAGGAGCATACTTCGAAATCGCCTTATTACAACCGTTATAGTAACCAGTGACGTACCTGACTTAATTCTATGGGGAGGAAAGGGATAAAACCCTACTCGATAAGTGTGAAAGCTATATTTTCTTTACCTTCCCTCTTCTTAAAAACATCTTCGATGTGCCCTGTGGGTTAAAACAACATTTATTGCCCCTACTCGTAATATAGGTACTAATTTTTTTTTTTTTTTAATTTATATAATATTTTTGAAAATTTTCTAAAAATGTGGTTAGGTATTAGACGCATAAAATAACTATTTGACATGTATATTATGTAGTAAAACACGATATTTATTCAAAATAATAATGAACAATATGTAAGATTATAAATCTCGCTATATATATATATATATATAAGTCTCGCTAAATCATATATTTTAAGTTTATTAGAAATGCCTGTAATTTTATCTCAGTAAATACCTTCACAAACATATCAATCGACGGGAGGGGGCGATCGCTATCAACGACCGCCTTCAGATGCACCACTGATAATAACGATAACAACGTAACATACCACACTTACGCACGCTATCATACGCGTATAAACATAGGCGCAACTAGGGGAGCGCAATAAGGTTTACAGCACCCTTCAGTTCAAATGTAACACTCCTGTTATTTTTTTCAGGTCTATATAATCAATAGTAATTACAGTTATATTCCATTTAATTTTTTTTTCAGCAATTTCAGCACCCCCAATATTTGGGCTCTAGTTGAGTCCATGCGTATAAGCGCGTGCGAATAGATTCCACGTCCTTGGAGTATTTTGTATGAACGTTATTGAATACAAATCGAACGAACGGATTCGTCTCATCGTAGTGCGTTTGATGTTACCTCGTAGAAGACTGAAAAACACATACCGTATCATATCGATCGATAAGAATCGATTTAAGAGGTAGTGGGCATCGTCCCAAAACACACTAATCACGGCCACGCGTGAGGTGGTAAAACATTTTGAAGCAGACCTTTTTCGAAATTATTTTTTTCTCCACACACATACACATACACACATGCATATATATATAAACTTGGTCGGCTCATCAATTGGAAAGCTCCCAAGTGGTCTAAAAATGACCTTTATGTATTGAATTTTTCGAAAGGCCTTTCGAGTTAAAGGAATTTTCATTTTTTTAACTTGTCATAATATAGGTATTCGTTAAATTCTAATTCAATAATAATAATTTAATATTTTACTCGCAAATATAATCGTTTGAAGTGAATACCGAAAAGTATTCGAAAAGTTATAAGCATTACACAAGTATATATTTTTTTTCAATCTCCCTATTTAAATGTCAAAACCTCAAAATAGACAATACGTTTTGAGTTATGAACTATAATATTAGAATTTATCATAACAATACTCCGAAATATATCAATTAATCACTTAAAACTAGCCACTAGTCAGTTTGTTCATTAACCAAACTTTGAACTACAGGAAACAATTTTTACACAGATGCATGAAAGAGGTATATATAGTTTTGATTTATTTGACGTACTCGGAATACGCCTAATTTATTATTTATTAATTTATTTGTCTATAATATTATTCATGAGCATATCTAGTTGTTTTGATTTTTAACTTGCTAGATCGTGTAATTTAAATATCGGTAAATGTATTGTACTGAAAGATCAATAAGCAACGAAAGTTTCTGAAGTAGGCATTTAGTGTTATTAAAAAAAAATTTACAATCTGCGATTTAATAAATAAATGCGTTATTAAAACGAAAAATCGAATGCTAAACACGAGACAAATTGTAAAAAAAGATTTTGAAAAAAATGTATATTAATATACTAGATGATTTTGAAAATAATAGAATCCATTTTCTTACATTGCGTGAACAAAACCGCAACTATTTTGTACGTAGGTTCGTTCTCACTACATGATGCTATCCAAGATATACGATTGAGATATTTTTATTATTTTACTCGTTGAAAATCTCTGTTTACACTAGAACATAACGGTTCGATGGTAATGCGAAAGGTTGTATGCGTTGAAACGTAAAAATCTATCGTATAAGCTGGTACATACGTTTATTTCGAATAGATTTTTATCATCGACTTCGGTCGCATATTGTTTTATTTTTTTTCTTTAATATCGATGCTGAACTAATAATTTCGAGTTGAGTAAATCGCTAACCCCTACACTCGAGGTGTAATCGAATGTGTAAAAATTGGCTGACAATAGCCACCAAATCAGTATTCACTGGGAGAAGAGGCACTCTTAAACCACAACTACCGTAAACCGACATTGTTTATTATACAATATTTTACAGTGATATTTACCCATAAATATTACTAAATAATACGAGTACACGTAAAATACGGTTTATTTTTGTATAATACATATTACCAAATAGTATACTACTTTTAAGCGTTTTTTTCCAAGAGTTATATTGTGTATTTTCATTTATTTATTAATTTTTTTTAATAAAATATAATTTATTCGTGTTCGAGGATCAATTTTTCTAAACGAAAAAACAACCATACCAGAAGGCCCATTAAAATGTACACGGAATAATTTAATATATTAATCATCATATTTACGTTTTCGGAAGAATGCTGCAAAAATGCATCGAATACAAAATCTTAAACAGAAAAATATGATAGACGTTCAATTTAGGATTTCGTTAACAGCATCAGTTCGTACACGGACGAACTGTTCATCTGTGGACCGTGTGCGAATTGAATACCATACTAATGGTATACGCATGGTAGCTTCGCATAGAAATCGCGCACGTTCGAACGCTAATAGGATCCCCCGTTCATCGATGATATTATAGTAATGGGATCGAAAGAGTATTAACCTCGGACGGAATGCAAATATGCACCCGCAGTACGTATCCGCGTATCCACTGCAGCCGAGGATCCGTGACCCGGTAAACCGTGCGGTGTATTTAAAGTCTATTTGAGTTTCTCGACTTTGAAAGGGTGGCGACGAACCTATATTTTGCGGTCATATCGATTTAGAATTGGGTCACCAACATAGTTCTACTCGTTTTAATTTTAATCATATTATATCATAATGCAGACTGTGGATGAAACTCAAACTAATTTGCATACAAAGTTTATAGTGGGCGTAAAAGTTTCATGTTTTAATGCTGTGACATGGCTACCTCGTTTATACGAGTATATATGCTATGCGTAGGTATATGAGATTTACACATTAATATTATTTTACCGATTTTAACGTTACACAGCAACGAGTGAATTATACGCACTTGCATGCATGTGTGCGCGACACATTAAGACTTTTTACTAAGGTGGGGCAGGGGAAGATAATAATATATATAAGTGTATTAAACTTACTTATTACGCTAATGAAAAAATTTACATATTTTTAGCTACAACTAGGGCTTGGGACTTCTTAGGAGTTCTAACATATATCTATGTAATTGTCAAAAATATAATTAATATAAAAATGTGTTTCGTACAAACCGACTATTTTATACTTGAAATCGCGTTGTGTTTTCGCATCGTTTTTTTATTTTTTTTTTATAGTATTGTTGTTATTGTTAGTATTTTTGTTAATTCGATGATTTAAGTACCCGACCGTAGTCATAACCTAGTACAAATAAGATCAATAAATTAATGATACAGCTCTAATATATATAAATAACTTCTATCATATTTTTTATAATCTTAAATGATCATAAAATATAAAAGTAATATTATAACATTGAAAAAGTACACGTAAAAAAAAAGGAGTTCAAGAGTTAGGTTCATCCTTCCCGTAATTACGCCACTGCAGGTTTGTGTGTGTTTGTGAATCAGTGACGCAATGTATGTTTACGTACAAAAGCAATTTGGTAATATTACAAGATAAACTTTTAGAAAAAAAATGTGAGCTCAAGCTCAAACTATCTATATATTTATCCTCGAGGAAATCGGACTACGTTTTGTTGCTGTTGATGAAACGAATAATATCGTATTGAATTTTTGCTCGCGCGCGAAATCGAAATCGTAACGAAACGATAAATATTATAACAGCTTTTAGGTCTAGCTGTTGCGTTTATTTTATTGTTCACCTGAGCATTTTCAGCAGATTGGTTTCCACCCGGTTCAGTTGGTTCTGTGGCGTGGCGGCGATTTGGCATATCATTTTTCTCGCGCACGTCGACCTGTCCTGTCGGAGTATGTCATCAAACTTATAGAAATCGTCCAACGACTCTTCGACGAACTCGTCGAGGTGCTGCTGAAACACAAGAGACACAATAACATAATACACACTAATTGCAATAATAATAATAATACTAATAATAATAATAATAATAATAATAATAATAATAATAATGATTATAATTAATTCACGGGCCCACCGTTAAAACAACGACGATAATAATGTACATAGTGGTGGTAAGTGCAGCAGGTACTACTACACGGTCCTATTCAACGATAATAATAATAATAATTATTATCGTACCATTATTAAGTGTTTTATAACAACTATACGAGTATATATATGAACTCGATGGATTTCATTAAGCGAACGCAATTAATCATAATTTTTTTGTCCACTACCACACTTGGTTAAAACCATGAGTATGAAAATAATAAAAAACGCTTTCTGTTTATATACACACACACACGTACACATATATATATATGTATATTGTTTTGTTTTTAAATAATCGTTTGAAAAGGTATTAGCATACCCATTATATTAGCTCAGACAGATAGATCGGTTTAGATTTATCGTACTCTTGCGTTTGTAATTCGCTATTGTTATGTACTCGTATATAATATATACGAGTACATAAATAATTATATTATAATATATTTATACCATATATATTTAAAATACATATATTTGCACAAATCTGAACCAAGATATTTAAATTGAAATACAATTACAAATTAATTTTTTCTATTTAATAAGTGTAATCATTATCGTTTAGTATGATATTTTCATTAATCGTTTTTATATTTTGAAATTATGTTTCCAAGAGATTTTTTTTTTCAACCATGAATAACTTTCGTCGATTGCACTTATTGCACCTTATTTTTTTGTTTAATTAAATAATTTAACTAATTACAACGATCTCACATGTTTTCACAAGCTCAAAAAAATCGTTCTGTTAATATCCATTCTTGATAAAACCAATGGCAGGAAAATAATATTCATTTTTTTCCTATTCATGATAAAGATATAATATGAGTTACGTGTAATAGAACATTTCATAAAGCAAATAATAAATTTAAAGGTATTTTCAAACAGAAGATTAAAATTTAATTTTACTACAAATAATTCGTATCTGTCGTTGGTTTAATAATTAAAATCAACCAAATAAACAACAACCAGAAAAAATAATATTATATTTGAAATTATATAGATTAAGAAATTGAGTATTTAAATTTTATCAGAAAGCTTAAAAACATTTTAATTTTAAATACTTAGATGAACTTCATGCCGTATAGCTAAAATTGTATACAATTTCGTTAATAAAATCGTCTGCTCAGGTTTCTTCCTCATTTAAACAAACTTATAAAAAAAATGTATTATATCCGATATATTTTATTCTAGCTTCATATTTATCAGATAACAATATTCTTAACTATATAACCTTTAAACATTATTATTCGATTTAAAAAAAAAAAAAATCAAATTTAAATCTAATATCACAGGAAACAATATTAATGTAATTACTAATAGACATGTGTGATCACGAACGTCTATCATTTCTTCGGAGAGTATTATTATTTAATGAAACAGTAAATAATAAAAAAAGAAACCTACCTATTCGTAAGGGACTTCGTAATATTATATATTTTTAGAAGTAAATTATTTACATGGCAATGTCAATTGATGGTTTTATAATATCCCAAACTTAGACTATACATTAGAATCAACTCCCATAGAAGAATACATGGAGATACATTCATAAATTATTCATGAATTCCATTCAATTTAAATGAAACATTTCAAAACTACCTAAACAATAGTGACTATCGTCTATCAGGCAACCAATAAGAAGTTGATACAAATGTTGGAGATCGAATGTACGGTAGACACGAAAACTACTGAACGGTTCGAAATGAATGAAATATTCAGAAGTTTAACTTTTAAAGTATCGAAATAATTTAATTATAAAGTTGATCGTACTATAACGATGCATAACATATCAAACGTGATAGGTACAATTGAAATATATGACCACAATAAATTTTCACGCGTTTCTAATTTTGATGAAGGTTGTAACGTCCGAATATCTTCTCTGAACATAAAACCCATTTACCGAAACACAGAATCCTGATTAAAATTGAAACAATGCAACATTGATATTTTGCTTCTTTGACTAATTTACAAACAGAACTTTTACAGTTTTAATATTTATTGTAATTTGATATATTTTAACCACTTAAGTTTTATAACGGGTTTTACGATTTTCAAATTAAAGTCTGTAATATAATACGTTTCCCTTTAAAATACTTTTAAAAACGTAACAATTTAATAGTTTTGAACTGTGATTAAATTAATATTACAATGACCAAGAACCACGAATAACATAAACCGTAGCATTCCATAAAACTTCTTACAGTTAAATAAATAAACAAAATTTAATAAAATTCAAAACTAGATTATTGCTCCCAATGTACATGCTCATGCTCTTTATAAATTAATATTAATCAACGTAAAAAGTGGATGAAAAGTTCCGAATTAAATCTATTCATCTGTTTTAAAATTTGAAGAAGCAAAGGAAAATATAATAATCAAAATAAATAGGTATAAGAAATACAATTGATATTTTATAATATATATTTGTAATTTGATTAATTTGAAAACACGTATGTGAGTTATAGCTGAAGCATTGAATTTAAAAAATAATATTTCAATATCATTGGAGAAAAAATAGTTAATAAGACACTACAATAATTGAAGTATGATACTATTATGAAACGTATTTGAGTATCGAAATATTAATATATTCTAATACTTAAGAAGCACTACACGAGTACTTTTCTGATCATGAAATTATGTACAATGTAAAAGTTGAACTTTATAGTGGTTCTTCGAACAGAATAAATTACTTAGATTGCTATATTAGCATTTATGTGCACATTTTTATTTTTAAATGCGAATCCACCTGTTCTCAATACATCACATACTCGTATATTAAGTTGTTCGACAGGAATTTTAAAACAATAATTACTTACAGTACCGATACGTTTTTGTACGTGTAGCATTTCAATTTAAATTAAAAATAATAAAGGACCTAAACGTGAACCTTGAGAGACACTAGAGGATACATAAATATCATTTGAAGTATGAAAATTAATTTTAACAATCTGAAAATGGTTAGAGAGATAGGATTATGACCATGAAATATGATAGAAAACCAAATGAATTTCATTTATGTAAAATAATAACATGATTAATTTTATCTAACGTTTTTTAAAAGTCTCTATTCGCAATCGTTTGCTGTCAATTTTTAAATAGTTTTTAGAATCTGTGTTTGGTAACATAAAAGATTAGTGAGAATATAATGTTTTGGTCGAAAACCATTTTGGAATGGATTTATTTAATAAGATAATAATGTAACAAGTTTCTTTGTAATTAGAGCTTCAACATTTTTAGTTATAAGTGATAATTTTGATATTGGTCCGTAATCACGTATAATATATTAATTTTATCACCTGATTTCAAAATTGATATAATAAAATATTTTTTCCAACCTTTGGGAAAGACTCCACTAGAACGCGATAAATTAAATAAATAATGTAATGGTTTTATCAAAGGAAATATGCATTATATTATAATATGTATTTGAAAATGAGGGATCTCTTATCCAGCCCTACGTCCAATTTATTATTAAGAGCATTAAGAATTTCTATAATTTCATAATCCGAAATGTAAAATTCGGAAAAATGAATTCGAAGATTTATATTATTTAAAATTGGAAAATGGCTTAAATTTATATTAAAATGATCAACATTATAAACCGAGAAGAAATAATTTGCAAAAAGTTTCGAAGAATCCGAGATATTATCTAATGTAACATTATTCGAAAGACAGGAATATTAGACTTATTAAATTTTAACGACTGAGTATATTTTCAAAATGATTTCATGTTTTTATTAATGTTATTTTTAATTTTCATAATAATTTGCATGAGCTATTTCTTAAATTTTCTACATAGTTGAGAAAAAAATAGAATAATCGTCTTGCAAATTTTTTATGTGCTATCTTTTCCAAATTAATACAATTTTTTAGAGAAGGATATTACCAGAAAATGTTATGTTTAAAACTGAGATTAATTTTAATTTTTGATACGTAAATGTCAAAAGACTTTTAGTGCTTTTAAAATGAAAAAATTCAAAGAAATATGTCCCCCTTCGTCCGATGACGTTAACCTAATAATTGAGATTATATTGCTTGAGCATTGTAACGGGATCAACAATCTTGTACTGAAAAATTACATCAATTCGAAATGCAAAATCGTTGATAATAACAATAATAATTTTTAAATATTAACACGCTACGGATACGTACGTGCTTGAAAAAATCGAACACTTTTACACTTAAACGTACCTTGTGGTAGTACCGAACATTTAATTTATTTAGTGCATGAAAATTTTAGCGCGTTTTTACTACCCATCTAAATGTGTTTACCGTCGCAGGAGGGAGGGGGGGGAAGTAGACGACCGTCTTTGCGTAACCAACACTGCAACGTTAACGGCTTCGTTCGGAATTCAAAAATCACTATTTACGCGTACACAAGGCGGTGGTACATCACGCACTTTTCGTTTTTAGCGAAACAAATGCGTACAATAGGATGAGGCTTGTAATAAAGATAACAATAATAATAAAAAACCATTTACCAAAGGTTGTGTAAGCTTCAGCACGAATTCGAAAACAAGATATTATATAATGCACACATCACATTTGCGCGCGATAGGATACGGTTTATGTAAATTTTCACACAGCATCATGTTCCATCGATTTCGATTGCCGTTAAGTCGTCGGTCGAATTCAAAACGAAATTCCTCTCTACCCACCATCTTTCCGCGGACTTGTTCCGAAAGGGCGTAGATAAATTTAGTCCCAAACGAATTTATCTTTTTTCGAAATAGGTAAACTGAGTCCCACGTATAAAATTTAAAGAAGTAAACTGAGTTCCTCGTATAACAGTTAAAGCGACAAATTGAGTCCCGTCTAAAATATTTAATGTATTAAATTTATTTAAATGTGTTAAA